ACTCTAGACGCGCACCGATTGCGTCGGGGCCTTGTGCCACAATGTGTTGCATGCCCTGAGGGCCAAGCAAGGACATTGGCTTGTTAAGCCCGTCCTGCATACCCTGGGGCAAAGAGGAGTATTCATGCATCCTCACAGAGGATCGGTCGAAAAGACTCAGGCGTAGATTGACTACAAGTGCTACCAAGTGCAGCGGAGCTGCCATAGCTTTGCGCTTGAGGAAGTGTCTCATGTCACCGACCTTTCTTCTTTACAAGAACTAAGAACGAGTGCAGCGGATCGCACTCCGCTGCCTCCAAGAGTATTTAAAACCTTAAACAAGGTAAAGAGACTCTTCCGTTCAAAATCGAAACCGCTCCCAGAGCATACCGCTCGAAGTGCTTACCGTTGTTGGTGGATGTCACTCGCTCTCATGACACTCGCTCTCATGAGCGATTGGTAGTATCCATCTACCAAATGGAGTGCACTGTACTTCGTACACCCTACCATGTTGTTCTGAAAACATCATTTCTAGGAATCGGAGTATTAGACGGATCATTTTGATGCAGCGACAACTGCAATCGGTTTGTCACGTCGTCAGCAGCTGCGATATCATGTCACATGTTTCTTTAAAGTATTTTAAGACGTGCTACATCGTGCTTTGACTACCTAGAAGCATCATTTTGACGCAGCGACAATGGCAAAAGCATTCAGAGCTCGTCGCGATATCAGCAGCTTTAATTTCATTTCAAGTGTTCTTTGAAGTCGTGCTTCAACTAGCTAGATGCATATTTTTGACGCAGCAAACCGGCAATCGTTTTCATAGGTTTGTCGTGTCGTCAGCAGCTGCGATGTCATTGCACTGTTTCCTGAAAAATGTAAGAAGTTTCTATAACGTGCTTAAACTTGGTAGAATAAGCAGTCTGACGCTGCGAAAGAAACAAAGGCTTTCAGAGGTTTGTCAGATCGTCAGCAGCTGTGATATCATGTCACATGTTTTTAAAGTATTTGAAGACGAGGTAAATCGTGCTTTGACTACCTAGACGGAACAGCTAATTAGACTTGGGTAAGGCAATAATAACTTATGCAGCAAGCGGATTGCGATCCGCTTACTCGTACTTGTTCTAAGTATAGAATGAAAGGTCGGTGACCTAAATTACGCTTACTCAAGCGCTAAGCTACGGCAGCCCCGCAGCACTTGGTAGCACTTGTAGTCAATCTGCACCTGAGTCGTTTCGACCGATCCTCTGTGAGGATGCATGAATACTCCTCTTTGCCCTAGGATATGCATGACGGGCTTAACAAGCAGATGTCCTTGCTTGGCCCTCAGGGCATGCAACATCTTGTGGCACAAGGCCCCGACGCAATCGGTGCGCGTCTAGAGGCGTTTTCGAGTTACGAAATCGCGCTGCTAGAGCACCTGCAGCAGAGATGTCTACATCATTTGCGTCTTTGACGCCACCGTAGGTGACAGATGATTTTCCCCGACCTAAGCCGCTCATGGTGAGCGTTAAGGTCTTTGAGGGAGGGATGGAGAGAATCTCCTGCTCTGGGTGAAAGTGGTCGAGATGGCCATCGCATCCACCATTCTCCAGACCGAGCAATGGCGCGTAGCGCTAGCCTCGGTAGTTGAGCGAGAGAATGGGCACTGACGTGCGGCACTTCGATCGGAACTGCGTTTCCTTCCCAGGCGGAGCTGAAATTGTAGCTCTCACGAGTGTTCTCGCCGCCTAATCAGGCGTATCGCGTGCGATCGCGCTTCCTTACCACCCGACAGGGCAACAAGGAATTTGTGAACTTTGTCGAATAGATGCGCACTCTCATTGCCGGGATGGCAGCAGATCCCCTTCCTGAGGCCATCATAGTGACCGCCTTCATGAGAGGCATCCGCACTGGGGTGGACAGAATGGAAGTCTTCCGTGTGCATCCGTCCTCATTTAAAGAGGCGGTGAATGTGGCATTGAATCCCGAATTCATTTCGAGTCGGTACGACTTGGTTAGAATGCACACCCCAACAGCTCGTCGAGCGGGCCTATTCCCATAGATCTCAGCTATGCTGTGGACGAGGGAGCAGAGCTCCGAGCTGCACGCAAACAGACGACGGTGTTTTATCTGTGGGGACACCCTACACCTGCGGAACGGCTGCCCCCTGCGCAAGGCGCGTCAAGGTTCTTTGAGCCATCGCCCCAACGCCTACCAGTCTGGTTCGTCGCGGGGAAACGACACTACTCAGTAGGCGCGGGGCATCCTACTGGGGAAGATCTGAGTTCTATTGAGCCTCAGGGAGGCATTGGTCAACAGGGCCCAGCCCCAAACAGCTCCGTGCTCTTAAACACGGAACGTGTGTGCGAGTCGGGCTTGCTGGTCGTGGAGGCGGCCGTAAAGGGCTTCGAGAAGCCATGGAAGTTTCTCATCAATTCTGGGTCGCCGGGCAATCATGCTCGACGCTCCACGATGAAAAGAAGTCAGTTGTATGCTGAGGCGCTGAAAGCGCGGTCGGGTGACATCGTCTCCGTTCGCTAAGCGACGGGGCGCGTGTCACGGTCCCGAAGGTGGAGCTTTGGCGAGTCATGAACCTACTTCTGTTAGGAGACAAAAGCGCTATTGGTGGAAGCACTGGACCGAGACGGTCAACGTGCTAGAAATGGAATGTCCAAGTTTGTAGACACCAACGGCCTATTGGACAGGAGTCCCCAGCCTGGCTCGCGAACTGATCTTGGAGTGGTACGTAAACCACTGAGGACTGCTCTCGTTGTGAAACAGTCGCTGCATGCCATCGATGGCGTGGTCGGACGAGTTCGAGGCATCTTGGGCACGGCCCTTCAGATGCGCGTAGAGTGGCACGGTATTCACTGGACAAAGATTGCGGGGTTAAGAGTTCTTCGTCGGATGTTGTAGATAACATCGGAGCTTCAAAAAAGCAAAAAATGAGGGTGACAGATGCGGAGTGCGTGTTCGCCCTGGTCTCACCGAGACATAGAATCTCTGTACAGAGGCGATGGCGACGCCGTATGCTGGCTGCAAGTCGCCGGGCGTTGACCCCGATCCAGGGTGTGTCTACCTTAGACGACGGTACACAGTTATACACCCTCGCCAGCGGTATGACGGGGAAGGAAGATGGGACGTCCGCCTCGAGGCTATGCCTGCATTAGATGCTCTTCTTGAGCCGGACGAGACGTTCCTTGAAGAGTTCGGCAGTGCCTGGAAAGCTTGCGATTTGGCCGAAGTGGTCATTGTACGACCGGACGAGGAGAAAAACTCGTCATCGCT